ACTACTATTTTTAGTCTACTACCTCGGATGACAAATTATGTCTATGTGAGTGGGGAATCACAATCCTAGCTCATAGTGTAGACATAGCCTAAAAAACAGAGTGTTCAGGGCAAATATTCATTTAGTTTGAACACTAATCTTTCACTACAGATGTGCTGAAGAGGGAAAAATAATAGACTTACTGAGTTTTATGTAAGAGACTAAAATTTCTGATTAAGAATATCATTAATGGTTTAATAGATTTTAAGGTCAGAAGGGACCAATAGGTCATCTAGTCTAACCTCCTGTATAACACAGGCCCTAGAATTTCATCCAGTTATGCCTGTATTGAGCCTAAAAACTAGCGTTTGACTAAAGCACACCTTCCAGAAAGGCAGCCAGTGTTTATCTGAAGTCATCAAGAGATGGAGAAATCACCACTTCCTTTGGTAAGTTGTGCCAGTGAATAACCACTCTCATTGTCAGTAACTTGAACCTTGTTTCTAATTTGAATTTAACTTCCACCCATGGTTCTTGTTCTGTCTTTCTTTGCTAGACCAAAGAGCCCTTTAGTTTCTGGTATTTTCTCCTTTTAAAACTACTTATGTACTGTAATCAAGTCACCTCATTCTTTTTATTTGCTTTCTAATTATATGCAAACAAACAGAATTTTCTCCAAAACAAAGATAACTAAGAGAAGCCACAAGACTACTGACCCAAAGCCCATTAATAGGCACTTACAAATTCCTCAGAAAGTAAAGAAAGTGAGGTCCACAACAAAACTGGACTATACCCATCCAGAGCCAAGTATTTAAAAAACATATTCTTCATCAGGTTCCTATGGCATGATTTTCTATGATGTTGAGCTTTGATGGGTGCCTAAGTACAGATGCAAAGATGGGATTTTCAAAAGCACCTAAATGACTTACTTGGGGCACTGTTGAAAATCCCCTAACTTTGGGCACTCATTTTTGAAAATATTGGCCTAAGTGATGAAGCAAAATGCAGATCTAATCAAAATGGAATGGCATTACTAACTGAGCAAACAGGCAACTGCAATCTTCTACTGTGCTTGGCATTCATCAGGTATGGAAAACATTTAGAGCAGAGAAAGATGTTACCATGAGTTTACTGGAAAACCAGGACAAGAAGTGCTATGTGAATCACATGGGCAACAGAATGGTGCCCCTCGTGTTTCAGTTGGAAACGAACTAGGCCAGTCAGAGGGACAGTAGCTATTCACAACCTGCTTATAGGCAAGTTTTAAATGCTTGACTAAGACAAGACAAACATGACTTACGGAGAAAGACTGACGTAAATAAGCATACTATAGGTGTTACCATTCTTGATAAAACCAGTTGTCCATCTAATCACGTATTCTTCCTCCAGCAGTGGCCAATATTAATGTTTTAATAGAAGAAAAACAAAAAAATACTCACATCAATCAATTGCCTTAGCTAGCTGAAATGTTATGGCATAAGAAAAAAACACATTTCTTTCAACCTTTACAGGCTATCAGATAGCACCAAAGATCATGAGATTTGATTACTTTGGTACCACTATCCTAGCCTGCACAGCTACAAATTACTTTAGATAAGGAAAATTTCTTGATTTTTGAAAACAAGAGAGCTCAAGAATAGATAACCTGCAGCTACAGTAAGCACTGGTTTTGATGGACCAGCATTCCACTGAGGTACTATTGAACTTAGGTTAATAGATTCCAAGGCCAGAAGGGACCATTGTGCTCACAGTCTGACCTCCTGTATAACACAGGCTATAGAACTTCCTCAAATAATTCCTAGAGCAGATCTTTTAGAAAAACAGCTGATATTGATTTAAAAATGGTCAGTGATGAAGAATCCACCATGACCCTTGATAAATTGCTCCAATAATTACTCCCCACTGTTAAAAATTTACACCTTATTGCCAGTCTGAATTTGTCTAGCTTCAACTTTCAGCCATTGAATCATGTTATAGCTTTCTCTGCTGGACTGAAGAGCCCATCATTAAACATTAGTTCCTTAAGTAGATACTTCTAGGCTGTAAACAAGTCACACCTTAACCTTCTCTTTGTCGAGCTAACAGACTGAGCTCCTTGAGTCTCTCACTATAAGGCATATTATCCAATCCTTTAATCATTCTCATGGCTCTTCTCTGAACCCTCTCCAATTTATCAATATCCTTCTTGGATGACAGCAGCTCCAGGGAAATCTATAGATATCCATTCCATGCATCTTTTATTTGGAGGCTAATGCTTTCACATTCAGCTTGGAGCTGGACATTGTACTGAGATACTCTTTGGCTGCTGTGACACGCGCTGTGGAGGGGGAGTTGTTAGCCACGCTAAAGTTATGTCTATCTTTAGTATTTTGGAGGAAAGCTCCCACTTGCACTGCATCAGGTACAGCTTCAAGAGAGGTGGCAATGGTCAGAGCATTTGTGTAGAAAAGGCTCAGGCATTTTCACCACCATGCCATCCAACCCTCTTCAGAGAAGGTCTAGATGACATTGTTATAAAAAAATGTCCATGCCGTGGTGCTAGTGCAATGTTAGCTGGATTCACCCAAAAATGCTAGTATAGATAAGGCTTAAGAGGTTACCTGGTACTCTGATCCATTGGGTGGTAGGAAGGAAAAGGCTGAGACATCCTCAATAGTTTAGAAAGGTTAGACTCCTAAGCTAAACTTCGTCCTTCCCAGGACTACTTGAAAGATTAAAGAAAGAACACTGAAAAAAATTCTCAGAGTGTCTGAAGATTCCAAGAGTACGTCTCCAGGGTGATCTAAGCCCCTGTAACTGCTGATAAGACTTACAAAATAGGTTTAATGTTTATTAATATTTTGGTTCGTAAGTTATGTTGAAGTTTTTTCCTGTATATACAAAGTATTCTTCCTTCTGTTACAATGTTTATATATTTCAGCACTTGTCTTTATTAACTTTGGGTTGGGGGATATTTACCTTTCAATGTTTCATGTTGTTTAAAATCATGCGGAACAATAATAAAGCGAAAGGGAACTTTCCATTTATAACAATGGTTGCATGTGTAAATCCCATGCACTTGGATGAAAGAATAGACTCCAAATGTCTGATTTACAGTACAATCTTTACACTTGGGGTTCTCTGTGGTACAAACCAAAAAGAAAACAAGCCTGTGTTTTATAAAATTCCTCAGGAGAGTTTTCCTGAAATAACATTCTATGAAACACTATATTCTTGACAAGGTGTCCATTTCAAATATGATATGTAAACAACTGCACTTTTTTATTTTACATGTTTTTACTCATCACCTGGTAGAAGATGACTCAAATGTACAGTGGTTAGTTATTTTTCCTTCTGCTATCTGAGTATTTCAGTGATTCCAGTTTGTTTACATTTCCATATGCACTGGATCACAGGCTCATTCTATCAGTATTTTTCTCCACACAAACCTCTTCCAATTTCACTATAAATATATTCTTAGATCATTAAACTTACAAATGTGGATTTTCACAATAAAGCACACAATATAAAAGACAGATTTCCATAGGTCACTCATGGACAGATCAATAAGAAAAGTCATAAAAATAATATAATGTATATTGTTAAAATATCTCTAATATGCAAAATAATGTTTCATTTTGAAAGCAATAAGAGGTAACAGAAATATAGATATTCCCCTCACTCTCAAAATCTAATGGATGAAATAGTGTTTCACAGTTATAATGGCATTATAATTTATTCAGAACCTTACCTAACAAGCTAATGTGCAGTAGGTCTCATATGTTTATCCTTGGTAATGCTGAAAAATAGGGCCCTTTTAGACTGGTCTTTACAAACCTCCAAAGGCCAGGCAATAGCAAGGGGGTTAAAAGAAACTGTTGACTTTCTTTTCTTTCTACCTTTTCCTTTCCTCCTCCTTTCTATCTTTTCTATTCCTCCCCAGATCAGAAAGCTCAGGTTAAAAATCTGTCCTCAAAATACATCTGAAGTGCTTCCAACTTCCCTGACATAGCACTTTATGTGGTGCCATTGTGTTATTAGACAGAAACTTCAGGGGTATTCACATCCCAGGTTTTGATTCAGGCTGATCTCTAAATGTTAAATCTAGAGTACCTAAATAGTGCATAATTATATAATTTACATATACATATACGTAGGCTTGGAAGGATTCAATTTTTAATCAGTAAATGTCAGTAATTGTTGATTTCACCGTACACACATCAACCAAAAAAAATAGTTCCATCAATAATAATAGAAATTTACAGATAGGCAAAGTAAGAAAAAATGCTGCTTGAGAACTTGTTAGAGTTTGATTTAAGGATATTTACTTTGTATACTTCAACATCTGATGTTGACAATCTGTGTTTTAATGGTTATAAAACTTTAACTATTTGAAATACGTTTACTCTCATTAAATAATTATTGTCTGATTCCTCCGCCCCCCCAATTTCCTGCAATGATAAAAATTTAAATAATACTTAAAATTAACAGCAATATTATTCTTTAAAATAATAAAAATTGAATTCTGCCAAGTCTCAATATAATATCTATTAATCACCAATGTCACTTTTCTGCTAGAATAACTTCATTAAGATCAACAGGTGGCACCAGTATTAAAGGTCTCTGGCCACTTGTGGATATTGGCCAGCGGTCTACCAGCATGCTGTTTAGCTGGTCATGTCCATTCATTTAGAGTAAGGCTTACAATAGTCATTAAGTCCTGAGAAGGGGAATGGATCAAATGAACTAGATGTTCTTTTCCATTTAATCTAGTAGTAATCCTGCTAGTAATAAAAGGGTGGAAGTTTGAAACATAACTGCCCTCTTCAGGGAAAAAAATAATTACAATTAGAACTGGGTGGGAAAGTGTTTTCACAGCCAGTGAGAAATTATGAGATTTTGAAAAAAAAATTCTCCCTGAATTGGGACAAAAAGTCAAAAATCTCAAAAAATTTCATGAGGCAAGAATTAGAAAAAAATTGAAAGGTTTCATTTATATAAGTTTAAAACATTTCTTTTCAATTTTGACATTTAATATTTTTAAAGTATAAATTAACCACTATTTCTAAACAAAAAGTCATTTTGAACTCAAAATTTAAACATTTAATTTCAAAAATGTTTAAATGGGAAATTTTGACAATTATAAAACTTTTTTTCACAAAATTTTTTCAAACCAGGAGATCCGTTGAAAGCAATCTTTTCCCAAGAAGATTTTCTGTTTTGATGAATTTGCATTTTCTGATGAAAAATGTTTTGTCAGAAAATTCCCATCCAGCTCTAATTACAATATTCCAGAGTTTTTTGACAGGTACAGAACAATAACAGTAGTTTGCTTAGAGACTCATCAAAATCCTCTTGCCTACTGGTGTTCTTGAATCTTTGGCTTGTATGAGCACTATTGCTTATGTTGTATGTTGTTAATGCTGATTGCCAAAGTAGCTGCATTTCACCTATGTTTGTGCTTGGTTTGATGGAAGACAGAAAATTTTGATCTTTGGAATTTGCTTTCCTTCAGTTGGAAAAATAGTACCACCATATCACTTGCGCTTGAATGTTCTCGCAAATTTCCATGCTAACTGAGGGAGCACCCCCTCCCCATGAATCTATTTACTTCCATTGATCTATAATTGATTTTTCATTGGTAGCATATTTACACATATTAGGTCTATCAACAGCAGCTACAAATTCCAAAATATATAGGGCTATCTTACCTCCCTTAACTTTACACCTCTACCGCGATATAACACGACCCGATATAACATGAATTCGGATATAACGCGGTAAAGCAGTGCTCCGGGGGGGTGGGGCTGCACACTCCGGCGGATCAAAGCAAGTTCGATATAACGCAGTTTCACCTATAACGCGGTAAGATTTTTTGGCTCCCGAGGACAGCGTTATATCGTGGTAGAGGTGTATTTGTTCAGAACTCTCCAAATGAGAAACATAAATAGTTGCTTTTTTAGTTGCAGTCTATTGTTTGTCTATAACAAAAGTTCTATTTATTTTTAATAGTCACTATTTTTATTCTACCTTGAAACTTTGTCTGCTGCAAGGATCTCTCTTTCTAAGAACCTGATCCTGTGATGTAATGAGTGCCTGAAAGTACCAGTGGAGCTCAGGGCACTCAGCAGGGCATTTCACAAGGAGTGGTTATATTATGACCAGATGACAGCAAGATTCTCTTACTTCCTCCTCAAATTCTAACATTGTAGAGTACATGTTTGTGTTATACATACAGATATAAATATATGGGGAGACAAGAGAAGGTTGTATAGTATGTTTTATAGTGAGGTGCTTATTGTTAAAGAATATGAACTTCAATAGAATTTAAAGCCAGAACTTTAGCGGTAAATATATGACTCAATGGAGATGTGTTATGCACTATAGTTAGATGAATGATAACAAATAAATTATCTTATGGCATTGATAATTTGAAAAAAAAAATGCTTCTGTCCTTTGTCTTTTTGAATCAGGCAAAGTGAAGAACACATAAGAAACATCAAGTCAAAACCATAAAAATAATTTGCCAGTTATATCATCTACATATTATAAGACAACAGAATCTGAAGCTATTTCTCTCTCCACATGTGCAAAATATTATTCCTATTTCAATGCATATGGCATAGACTGAGTTTTCTATAAAAATAATTGTAATAAAATACAGAATACATTAATTATAATAAACTTGCATCAGTTTTAACAAAATGAATTTAATACTTATTTAGACTATCAAAAATGATTTAGAATCAAAGTTGCCCTCAGTTGTCCTGAGGTCTAAAAGCTTACGATAGAATAGCCTCTCATGAGTTGAACTGTACCTCTGTGGTAATCTACATGAAGCTAAAGTAAGCAATATACAGGTTATTAGCTGTTACTTAATTCAACATCCAAAATCCTGTTTTTATCTTTTCCGCATTAGTGCACAATGCATAGAGTACTTTAAATAACCATTTAGAAAAGAATTGCATTTTAAGCCATGTAAGGAAGAGTTATATAAAACCCTTCATAATTCCCCTGTAAACAGCTTCTTAGTGTTCCCTCTACTGAATGAGCAAACTCTTTATAAGGGATTGGAAAGTCTTTAGTGGATTGTCTCAGAAAGAGATGAGAAAAGCAGAACTGCATAACATTGACATAAGGTGCTCCCTGGGGAATGGGCATAGTAAAGCATCATGCAAGGTATTAAGTCACACTGTCATTATTTTCATGTGTCTTCTTTCAGTTAGTGGTCACACTGGCTTCCTTCTGACGTAGTTTTTCTTTCTGTTGTTCAGGAAAAAAGAGCTTTATTATCATTCTTGTCTTTAATTTTCCATCTGTTCTCAAATTGCAACAAGCATGTGGTCTAGAACACTGAACTGAGGAGTAGCAAACCAGTCATAGTAGATTGGAGCCTTTTTTTCCTCCAGAAAATTAACTCCGGGAGTGCCATAAATCTCTAAACTATGCTCGTTTGTCATTTCCTGCAAAGATTTCTTTCAACACACAATGCTCAACTATCAAACCCCATAAATGCCTTTCTATGAATTTAACTAGTTCTATATGTCTTTAAGGAGTCAGTTACTTTAAATACAAACAAGAAATTTTGCAAAGATCAATGCTGCTGCAGAAAGCTGGAAACATTTCAAAACAGTGTATACAAAATGTCTGATTTTAATAGCTTCTTCCATTCTGCTTTCAAAGCTGACCCTCATAGAAGCCCATTGTGGGCAGTAGGGAAAAAAAAGCTTAATTTGCTGAGCTGCATGGGCATTGCTACCTTGATTGACAGGAGGGTTTTTTCTGAGTTGGAAGTAAGGAGGCATCTCCTGAGAAATGAAGTGAAATTTCTTGAGGCAGAACAAGTTAAAAAGCAATTGTTGCTGCTGTTGCTCTGATCTTGAAAAGGTAGAAGTAGAAAAGTTAACAGGTCAACTAAAATGTTTGAATGTTCTCTCTTTAGAAACAAAAACCTCAGTGCAATTCATGACAATATTCCACTTACTTCCATGTGTCCAGAATGATTAGAGTGGAAACGTACCAAAAATGCTAATCAGGTTTTGGAGAAGAGGATTATTATATATTGCCCTCACACACCCCCATATCCTCCTCCTCCCTCTTCTCCCGCCTGGAGTCTCCTCACACATCCAGAACTCCTCATTTCTGGTCCCACCCCAGAGCCCACACTCTAGCCAGAGCCCTCACCCCCTTCTGCATCCCAACCCCAATTTCGTGAGCATTCATGGCTCGCCATACAATTTCTATACCCAGATGTGGCCCTCGGGCCAAAAAGTTTGCCCACCCCAATCTAGACCATCCCTGACAGCTGTCTGTCTAACCTGCTCCTAAAAATCTCCAATGATGGAGATTCCACAACCTCCCTAGGCAATTTATTCCAGTGCTTATTCACCCTGACAGTTAGCCCTGGTCTACACTAGGTGCGGGGTCGACCTAAGATATGCAACTTCAGCTACGCAAATAGCGTAGCTGAAGTTGGAGTATCTTAGGTCGACTTACCTGGCCGTGAGGACGGCGGTGAGTCGACCGCTGCCGCTCCCCTGTCGACTCTGCTTCCGCCTCTCGTGAGCTGGAGTTCCTCGGGGAGTTGACAGGGAGCGCGTGCGGGGATCGATTTAGCCGCGTCTAGACGAGACACGATAAATCGATCCCCAATAGATTGATCGCTACCCGCCGATCCGGCTGGTAGTGAAGACCTGCCCTTAGGAAGTTTTTCCTAATGTCCAACTTAAATTGCCCTTGCTGCAATTTAAACCCATTGCTTCTTGTCCTATCCTTAAAGGTTAAGGAGAATAATTTTTCTCCCTCCTCCTTATAACAATCTTTTAAAGTACTTGAAAACTGGTATCATGTCCCTCCTCAGTTTTCTGTTCACCAGACTAAACAAACCCAAATTTTTCAATCTTCTCTCATCGGTCATATTTTCTAGACCTTTAATAATTTTTGTTGCTCTTCTCTGGACTTTCTCCAATTTGTCCAATCTTTCATGAAGTGTGGTGCCCAGTTAAGGCCTAATCAGCACGTAGTAGAGTGGAAGAATTACTTCTCATGTCTTGCTTATAACACTCCTGCTAATACATCCCAGAATGATGTTTGCTTTTTTTGCAACAGTGTTACACTGTTGACTCATATTTAGCTTGCGATCCACTATGACCGCCAGATCCCTTTCTGCAGTATTCCTTCCTAGGCAGTCACTTCCCATTTTGTATGTGTGCAACTGATTGTTCCTTCCTAAATGGAGTACTTTGCATTTGTCCTTATTGAATTTCATCTTATTTACTACATCCCTACAGTTTTAGACCTATGTAACAACTCAGTTTAAAATGGGCGGGCAAACCTTTTGGCCGGAGGGCCACATCGGGTTTCGGAAACTGTATGGAGGACCAATTAGGGGAGGCTGTGCCTCCCCAAACAGCCAGGCATGGCTTGGCCCCCGCCCCCGCCGCTTCTTGCCCCATGACGCTCCCCCCCCCCCCGGGGACTCCTTCCCCATCCAACCCCTCCCGCCCCCTGGAAACCCTGCCCCATCCAACCACCCCGTCTCCCTGACCACCCCCAGAACCCCTGCCCCTGACTGCCCCCCACCGCCCCATCAACCCCCCCCTCATTCTTGACTGCCCCTCCCTGGGACCCCTGCCCCATCCAACCACCCCTTCTCCCTGACCGCCCCTGGAACCCCTGCCCCTGACTGCCCCCCGCTACCCTATCCAACCCCCACTCCTTCCTGACTGCCCCGCATTCAACCCCCCCCCGTTCCCTGCCTCTGACTGCTCCAACCCCTATCCACAGCCCCGCCCCCGACCACCACCTCGAACTCCCCTGCTCTCTATCCAACCCCACCTGCTTCCTGCCCCCTTACCGCGCTGCCTGGAGCACCACTGGATGGTTGCGCTACAGCTGCGCTGCCCGGAGCCAGGCACACCACTGCACAGCACAAAGCACCGGGTCAGGCCCCGGCTCTGCAGCTGCACTGCCCGGCCGCCAAGAGCATTGTGCCGGTGGTGGGGTGAGCTGAGGCTGCGGAGGAGGGGGAAAAGCAGGGGAGGGGCTGGGGGCCAGCCTCCTGGGCCAGGAGCTCAGGGGCTGGGCAGAAGGGTCCCATGGGCCGGATGTGGCCCGTGGGCCGTAGTTTGCCCACCTCTGGTTTAAAAACTATTCTTAAGCATGGTTATTGTGGCCAAACATGATTCTTAGCCATGGTTTGGTTGGCCAGTATGCTTTTAATTTAATTTTGCTCAAGCCTAAGTGCCTCACAAAAAAACAGATAATGCTCAGTCCCTGCCCAAAGACAACACTGTAAATTTGACAAGGTACAACAAAAAGTGAGGCTCAAAAACAAAGAAGTGTCCAGAAAGGACAAGAGTAAATGATATTATGTTGGGCTGTTAATTTTTTTAAAAATTCCCCCCTCACTTAACAAGGGGAGATGTCAGAAGAGTGTCTTTAGGAGAGGTTTGAATCAAGACAAGAAGAGGGGGCTTTTTGAACAGGTCTGGATAGAGCATTCTAAAGGGTGGCAGGGAAAAAGGCACAGAGACTTGTGAGGGAAAGAAACAAGAATAGTGGCTTCTTCCATACTTTGCCATTCAAACCAGTTAGAGCTAGAGTTGGCCACAAGAGAATTTAAATAAGGTTTAAACCCATTTCTAAACTCAGTTGTTACACCACTGTAGGCGAGGCCTTAAAGATTTTTCCCCTGGACCAATATCAGTTTGCTGCTTTCCAAATGATGCATGCTATTAGCGACACTTCAATGAGAAATGCAAAGCACAGTTTCTCAGTGTGTTATGCTGAAGAATATATCATACCAGACTAGCCGTGGGATTGATTTTCTTTGTTTCAACCTTTTTCTCTTCAGTTAACTTGCTTACGAATTTCTGAGCCTCTTTCAGTCTGAAACAAAACACAGCACAAAATATACTATTAGATACAAGAAAACAAAACTGTTTTACATCCAACTGGTATACTTACACATTCATCAACCACCATCTCTGGTTTCTTTAAAAGCATTGCTCAATGAATGATGAGACTAAAGGAATACAAGGCAAAGACGAACAGCAACATCAAGTGTAAATAATGATCTAGTGTTATTAACTAAAATTTGTTCAGTTGCACCTACTAAAATATTATAGCAGCAGATATGAATGAATTCTCAACTAGAGGAAAATAAAAAATGGAAGAACTTAGGCCCTGATCCTGCTATGCAATGCACACGGGCAAGCCCCCACATCCATGTGGAGCCCCACTGAAATCATGAAGGATTTTTTCCCCCCTCAAGGAGAGGGACAGAATCTTCTGTTTCCAAAATCCTTCTGTTGTTTTGAGTGTTGTGCAGGGCTGGCTTCTTGAATCAGCTGTGGTGGGATAGAAGGGGAAGTAAGCCATTCAGAAGTCAGGGAAAGGAAAAAGAAAACCTAACAACTTAGCAGAAAAGTGATCTGATTCTCATCTTTAGGGGGGTGGGGTGGAGGGAGGGGAATCAGTGGCATTAACAAACTGATGCTCCAAACAAGGTAAAAAAGTGAGTGGAAATTCTTGGGGTTCTCTCTTTAGTTAATTTAGAAACATTGCCAGCACCTTTCAAAGCACCATTTGTCTGATATTGGCCATTAAAACATGTGCTTATGAAATTTGAAATTTAATGTTATCCTATGAAATCAGACAGTTATCTCTACACAAAACTGCACTTTTTTTCTATTAACCTCCCCTACACCCCATCCTAGAGATTGCACCCTTCCAACTTTCCATATCACAAGCGCTCTGACGGTGTAAACACTTAGTTTATACTTCAATTTGGAACGTCCAAGAGGAAAGGAAATTGCAAGTAAATTTTGATCACAAAAAGAAAACCCAATTTCCACTACTGTACACCGAAACAGTTTTTTCTTATAAACTTTATAGTTCTTGGCATTGTCATACTGAGAAATTTTACCTTCTCCTTTTACTTAATTTTTCCTGTTTCTATGCCCAGGCAATAAAGTATTTAAAATACCAAATCCAGTTCAAACCACCTTTGATACACTAAATTTTGGAAGAATTTTCCATGTAAAGCAACAAGTGACGTGGATTAGTTCTGCAATTACTGACATGGACTTCCTTCCCTCTTGTACCACTGTGTACCGCTTTCCTCCAGCAGCAACTGGGATTCCTGACATTTTTATTAAAATATATTCATAAATATGTTGCAGTGTTTATCAGTGTCCAATTCATTTTTAAAACTTAACATTCCTTGTTTGAACTATGTATTTTGGAAGCTTCTGTTTGACAATTGTTAGCATTTGAAACTTCTTTATTTCCTTGCAAATGCCTAAGAGCATGAGGGAACAGTGAAGTTACTTTTAAGAAGCCTTACTTCCAACACCACTTACATTCTATGTTGATAGATGCTATAGAAATACCTTAAATTAGATTGATGTGAGATTTAGTTTACACAATATCAAGTTTGTTTACAGTTTTAGTTATACCTTTTGTTCTTATAAATTATAATACTTATTTTATTAGCATGCCCAGATGTCTACAAGTTATTGAACTTTTAACATGCTACCTATGTCACCTCTTCACAACTCTCAGATAGCAAATAAGGTTTGCTTTTTAATGACGCGATGACTGCTAGTCATCGAAGAGTACACACCTCATAATTGCGAAGGTTATAATGGCAAAGTGCCTCTCAGTTTTTAAAGGCAGTTACTATTTTTAGATTCAGTAGGACCAAACTGGGATGGTCAGGATTCTACGAACGCCGTCATTTTGCACCACCTATTTGTAAGTCCTAAGTTTCTCTCCCTCCCTGCGGTTATGGTTGTTGTACTGGCACTATGGGCTTTTTCCAAACAACTTCAAAATAAACTGAGCAAACATCTTAACCACAGAGAATCTTGGAGATGATAAACTCAAGTTAAAAAATTATGAATAGATAAGGTCATCTTAAATGATGTACTTATGGTCCTGAGACTACAGTAGAACCTCAGAGTTATGAACACCAGGGTTACTAGGGTCAGGGTTACTGATTGGTTAGTAACATACCTCATCTGGAACCGGAAGTACTTAATCAGACAGCAGCAGAGACAAAAAAAGAAGAAAGAAAAAGAAAAAGGAAAATACAGCACTGGACTGTGCTAAATGTAAAGTACTAAAAAAGGGAACATTAAAAAAAAGGGCTTGACAATGGAAGGAAACTGTTTCTGTGCTTGTTTCAATTGAATTAAGATGGTTAAAAGCGGCATTTTTCTTCTGCATAGTAAAGTTTCAAAGCTGTAGCATGTCAACTTTCAGTTGTAAACTTTTGAAAGAACTATAACGCTTTGTTCCGAGTTACGAACATTTCAGAATTACGAACAACCTCCATTCCCGAGGGTTTTCGTAACTGAGTTTCTACTATACCTGCTAATGCTTACCTGTCAGATATTAGTGCAGAACTGAAAAGCTTTTCTAGTTGAAACAGAATAATATGTTGCTTACCATATCACTTTTATGAAACAAAGGGCTTGTCCACATCGTTCGGTAATGTGCACTATGAGGCCATAATTTCTAAAGCGCACTAATGTGTTGTGCATTCATTGGTCTGTGTAGCTCCTGCAGTTGTGCATTAAAGGTTCGTGAATGTGTGACAGGTAAGGATTAGCATGGAGTCTCAGCACCACAAGTATATAATTTAAGACAGACTTAACTATTCAATATTTTTTAAATTGAATTGCCCTAGTTATAAGAAAGTGGTTAGTTCAGTAATTAGGTCAGTCAAGTAACCACACTGTGAAGAGGCTTTATAAATAATAGCAGCCCCCGCCTTCTCTTGGAAATGATACTGCTACTAGCCACTGTGTGTTGAAATACAAGCCTAGAAATGGCTAAAATAAAATGAAGTAAAAACTAACTTAATGCAAAAGAGAGTTAGCTGAAGGCAGCTATTGTCTAATCCCTCGTCCCACTTGTATATTCTACTTTTTAAAATATAAAATAAACCTGAAAATGGGAAAATACCTTTGCCTATTAAAAGTTATGGTAGTTTTCCAGCAAAAATTACAAATATTTATAATACACTTTGGAGCTGTATGAACCTCTAAAGTAGCATGTGTGTACCACTGCAACTATTTTTTTAAATAGAATAACTAAATAAACACAAACATAATACATGGCTATAAGCACAATTCAGACAGATTACTAGGCAAGCTTAATTAGCCAGTTATGCTTACAGCTGCACGGATATTATAAATAAAATATGCAGCACCACCCTTTCTCTGCTTATTGTGTCCATTTTCTGCCCTCTTCACTTGGTGTAAACAGAAATGTTGTTGCCACTCGTATAATGAATGTAATGATCAGGAAATAGTATCTGAAATTATTTCCAGCTATAATGCTACAAATAAATAGTAAGTGAAGTACATGGCTTGTGTGATTTGGCTTAGAGATTAGTATGATACACAAAAAGTAAAACTACAGATAAAGTTCATTTACATAGACAGGAATAAACTCTTAATTATTGTCTGACATTGTCTTAGGTGGAGATACTATGTAAATAACCGATTTGCAGGGATATCACACCACATACTATTATTTTTAATCACTTTAAAATAAATTATGTAATGTGTCATAAACCAAGTCCTTAAAGAAGTTAAATGCAGTTTATGAGAATTTATATAGACTTAAATTGCTGTACTCCTTCCTATAAAAGTATAAACTTCCTTGCTTTTTTTTAACTGTCAATTACTTGTTCTCAGTTTACAATAAAACAAAAGGCAACAGAATGGCAAACTGGAAGTTAAACAAATAAATCCTACTAAATATCCCTTTTTACTTTTCTGAGAGTAACTGCAGTTATATTAAGTATTAATGAAGATGGTCAGTTTAATATTGTACACATTACAGAAATCAGGTGAAAGGAAAAGGTATTCCTGAGAGTAGGGGAGCAGTCTATAACCCTTTTGTTCAATAGGATGGCCAGCAAAACAGCTGAAGAGGACTTCTAGAAAACATTACTAATGTGGTTTTGACAAGGCTAATAATATAAGGGTCTCAGCCTGCTTGAGAGTCACTGGAGAATAAACACGTTGTGAGGCTTAACAAATAAATAAATAAAATGAATAGGTGTCCACTTTGTCTCGTTATTTGAGCTCATTTGTTAGTCAAGTGTTAAATGAGTCATCAACCTGGAGATGGGGGGCGGGGCAGGATCTGACAGCCAAAGAACTCCCTAAGCAGTAGGAAAATCATAAATGAACTAAAATAACCAACTAGATGTGATAACAGGGTGTGATGGGGCAGCTGACCCTCATTGGCTGGCAAAGGGTTAATAGCAGCCCTTGGATCGACTGCGCAGAACCCAGCCAATCAGAGGAAGGCTTAGAAGCAGCCAATCATGGCCAGGCTGAGCCCTATAAGAAGGGCTGCAGGGCAGAGAGGAGCTGTGTCTGTCTCTGGAGCTTGAGGGAGAAGGACTGGCTGCCTGTAGAGAGAAGTACCTGGGACAGAGCTCCTGTTCATGTGAGCTACTCGCAGCCAGCTACTGCAGGGCAGGGAGCAAGTGGAGCTCCAGCCTGGCTGGCTCCCACCCAGACAGTGGTCTTGATATAGGGGCTGAGTAGGTGCCGGGGCTATGGGGAAGTGGCTCAGGGAAAGCAGGCATTGGCAGAGGGGAAGGAGAGGCAGTGAGCAGCTGCCAGCTACAGGGTCCCTCGGTCGGGATCCAGAGTAGCGGGCAGGCCTGGAACTCCCTCTTTGCCCCACTGGTTGCCAAAGGAAGTGGCCCAGCAAAGGACTGCAGTTTGTCCCTGAGCGAGGGGCTGGACTAGGGGTTGCAGTTTGCCACTGCGGCGAGAGGCAGGGTGAAGGACTGTCGGTTCCCCCAGAAGGCAGGAGACAATGGAGTTGGGGCACAGCTGGAGGGCCGTGCCCTGAGG